TAAACTAAACATTGTTATTTTCATAATCTTCAATATCTGGTCAAATTTATTTTTAACATATCTTTTTAACCTTGAAGTGCTATTCATATTTTTCTTACATTAACACTTTTCTAAATGAAAATTCATCTACACAAGCATTTACAGCAGGATGAACTTTATTTTGAAATATATTAATCTAACGTCTAACTTTGACTGTAATTGAGACTTTTGTATTAAGTTGAAATTTATTTTTTATATTTTTAAAAAAATTTTTGTTTCTCTCGAAAGAGAAATATTTTATGCGATTTAAGTTTAGAATATTTATTTATAAAATCTTATTTTCTTGTTTCAATCACACAAAAAGTTTATATTTTAATTTTTAAATGAATGTAAATAATAACAAATATATATGTTTGTTTATTTAAAAAACACAATTTATTCCTACAGCATATGTAAACTTTTTTTGATTTGGGAAATTAATCGAAACGAATTTTTGCGTGCGCATTTACGAAAAGAAAGAAATAATTGTGAAATCACCATAGCTACCTCCATGTTATTAAATATCAGTCTTTTTCTCGCGTTTATTACTCATGCTCACATACATGACATATATTATTTTATAAAAATTCGCACGTGTCAACTGCGAATTGTCTTCTCCGTGTAAAAATAAAAATATATATATTATATATTATATACATATATTATGTATACACGATATATTTTACACATAGTCATGCGCGGGACAATGTAGCTTCCAGGATTTAAGTTAAGATTGCCTCCTTACATGGAACAGTCGAGCGAGCGTAAATAACAATTAATAACGAACAAACAGGTTACACAGTCATTAGATAATAATAAGAATCAATGTAAAGGAGAGGTGCGCAAATGAAATCATTTCTAAAATATCAGTGTGAAATAATTAAATTATACAATACAATATATATACTTTATAAGTTTTTAATTAATTCACGCGTGTTTTTTTTTTAAATTATATATGATAATTCAATTATTATAATTCAATCATATAGAGGAAAGTCTCCTTATTATGAGATAGGCACCTAATATGAGATAGCGGCGTTTCTGCTAAACTAATAAACGCTACCTATTGATTCCACCATGAATTTATTGCTCTTGGATTGGAAACTATTTAATAGAAAATTTATTATTAAATCATGCCTGTAGTCATTGTAAAAAAAGATTTTAGAACTTGGACGTCTTCAAGTTTTATTGAGATGAGCCTTTAAACCTTGTTTATTATTTAATAAATAAATATTTGGCAATATTCTTGGTAAATTCTTTATATAGTAATAGAGTGAGGTCGTACTAATAGAAAAATACGGAATATGTTCAATTGTTTAATTACAGAAGGTTTGATGATCGTAAAATCATAAGGCGTGAAAATCGTAATATGAGATATTCGGGATATTTCTAATCTGAAATAATCTATCACTATGTTATAGTAAAAATCGATGCTAAAGAGTGAATGTTAATATACAATAATAAAAAGGACAACCGGAATGAACGTCGAGTGCCTATTTCTGCGATGCTTGGTTGCAACTATCTGAATTCTGGGTATAATTTATCGCATGCTCATTTTTCACGCACGCTGACAATGTTTGTTTGTATTTTAGAAATATGAAATAAAGTTTTTTAATTACAATATTAATATATTTTGCATTTTACTATTGATTTCTCGGGGCATTTCATATTAGGAGCACAATTTTTTGACTTTGCAATTTGCTCACTTTTTACATTTCTTTAATTTTCAAAAAAAAAATGGAATTTGAATTAAATTTTATATAACATTATCTCAAAGCTTGTTAAATTCCCTTCAAAATGACCTATTATTTTTTTAAATTCTGCCCATAGACTTCTAGCATTTATCCAAAATGAACTCGGTATCTCATAATAGCGGCCTTTCCTCTACATATACTAATAGACCGTTATAATAAAAATGTTTATTTTATTATATGTAACAAGAGAAAAACCATCTACTTCATTTTTTCGTAACTTAAAATACTAAACGATTACTTTAATTATTTGTGGTTTATGTATTCGTTATTTATTATTTGTGTTTTGTTACATTTTACATATAACTGTCAAATTATATAAACACTGCTATATCAAATGATCTCTTTATACTTTACCCGTGTATTGTATAATTTTCATAATTTATCAACGTCATTTTTATCAACCATTAATAGTCGATATTACATTGCATTATTCTGGTCATAATCTTTTGGCATCATGTACGTAAAATTATATCAATGCTAGTAATGACAACTACTTTATAGTTTTCTAGAATTAAAGAAGCTTGTCAGTCAACACATGTAAGTGATCAAAATATCGTTCGCATTTTGGAAATGAAGTAAGAAATCGCGTATCACGAATGAAGAAGTAAAAACAAACTACCTCAACCCCACAAAAAATTCATTATCACAAGCCTGTATGCACTGCTGGACAAAAACGACAGATAAGACTTCTCATTAAATTTTCATAATTCTTTGATTGCAAATTTTCTACCCTACAGAGCGAAAGTTTTCTATATATGTAAATATTCTGAAATTTAAGATTCGAGTACTTAATCCAACATAAAATCATTAATAAATAAAATAGAAGTTCTCTATTTATTACTAAAAAAAATTAAAAAATTATCAGAATTTACTTATCTTAATATTTTACTTATTTCTACAAAAGAGAGTCTTACTTTAGCATTCTTACATGCTTTATCATTCTGTCCAATTGTGTATATTTATATGTACACTCACGCAACATGTGTGTATGTACATATCTCGTTCCGAGATGATGACGATACACTGCCAAACGTCGCCGCTCGACTGCTCTATGATTGATAGTGCTATATTCCAAAATCGCAATGCAATATGTTGTACTTACAACCGTTCTTACAGGTCGTGACAACGGTTAGTGATTTTCGAAATCCTTAACAATGTAGAACGAAGAAGTCGCGTGAATGTGCTAACGAAAAGAGAGAAAAAAGAAGACAAAAAAAAAGAGAAAGGAAATGTGAGTTTTGTCAAAGAAGGAAGAATTGCAAAAATGAGTGTGTGAATGAGTAAATACTTTACGTGCCCGGACGGCAATCATGATGTTAATATATATTATATCTAATATATATATATACATATATATATAT